GAACATAAACATCAATATCGACACACATGTGCTTTCCCTTGCCGCCAGGAATTTAATATAAGAATATTGGATAAATTTACTTTTGAAATGTTTTCTTTTTCTAAATATCACTTAACATGTGGGGCGTATATATATATTATTCATATATTTCACCCCATATTTAAATTCAAAAATGTGTAAGATCCTATTACTTAATCAAAGATTTTCTTTTTTTAATCACATGCAACTGATGACTAGAACAGCTTAAAAACTTACATATTTTAGTACAATTGTAATTGTAGAAAAATATACAATTATATATTAAACATTCATAAAAATGGTTCACAGGAACAACCGCTACAGCAGCAAACACGTTTGACACAATATATGGCAGTGAAAAAAGAGGTAACGATAGTATAAACTCTCAAAGCAGTAATTCCACATGTCTTACCAGCGACAAAGGTAAGTTTTTTTTCAAGATAAAAATATAACTTACCAATGACAAAAATATTAGTATACTATCATAAGAAACCACACTGTCGAGTTTCTTTAATCAAAAAGTATTTTGAAACTGAATTAAAGATAAAATGAAAATAATCTTAGTTTGTTTCAAAATCTGATTTTGTCTATTGTATATTTCAACGCATAAATAACTACATTGAAAATTCAGATTTTTTGCATTCATAACTAGAATCATTGCTTTCAGGAATACCCCCAGTCACTGCGGATCAAGATGTGAATTTGAAATATTCTGTAAATGAAAGCGACATACATACAAACATACCTACATCCAACCCTGCACAGACTGAAATTGATGCAAATGGTATTGAATTCATTTTTTTTTGATTGGCATTATTTAATTAAAACATAAAATTAACATAAATATTTGTGAATATACAAACCCCCATAAGTTTTACTGAAATTATATCAGGTTATGGTAATATATCTTAGAACATGGGTAAATCATTACAACAATAAGAATGAGTTTTTCCTATTTTCATTTAATTAGTCTCTGTCAAAATGAACATGTATATATTTGAGTATAAAACACCCCATATTTGTCAAACAACATGAAAAAACGAATGTAATTAATACATTGTTTTAGGGTCAAAGTTGGAGTTTACAAAAGATGAAAACCATACTGACCAACATTGTGCAGATGACTGTGGTTTCAGAGAGCAATGTTCTGCAGACAACAATAGCAACAAAGGTATTTCTTGATAATCGTTAAAGTTAACATTCACGTAGCGGAAAAAATATGTATATCTGTGTTTATTTGAACATAAACATCAATATCGACACACATGTGCTTTCCCTTGCCGCCAGGAATTTAATATAAGAATATTGGATAAATTTACTTTTGAAATGTTTTTTTTTCTAAATTTCACTTAACAAGTGGGGCGTATATATATATTATTCATATATTTCACCCCATATTTAAGTTCAACAATGTGTAAGATCTTATTACTTAATCAAAGATTTTCCTTTTTTAATCACATGCAACTGATGACTAGAACAGCTTAAAAACTTACATATTTTAGTACAAATGTAATTGTAGAAAAACATACAATTATATATTAAACATTCATAAAAATGGTTCACAGGAACAAACGCTACAGCAGCAGACACGTTTGACACAATATATGGCAGTGAAAAAAGAGGTAACGATAGTATAAACTCTCAAAGCAGTACTTCCACATGTCTAACCAGCGACAAAGGTAAGTTTTTTTCAAGATAAAAATAGAACTTACCAATGACAAAAATATTAGTATACCATCATAAGAAACCACACTGTCGAGTTTCTTTTATCAAAAAGTATTTTGAAATTAAATTAAAGATAGAATGAAAATAATCTTAGTTTTGTTTCAAAATCTGATTTTGTCTATTGTGTATTTCAACGCATAAATATCTACATTGAAAATTCAGATTTTTTGCATTCATAACTAGAATCATTGCTTTCAGGAATACCCCCAGTCACTGCGGATCAAGATGTGCATTTGAAATATTGTGGAAATGAAAGCAACATACAAACAAACCAACCTAGACACAACCCTGCACAGACTGAAATTGATGCCAATGGTATTGAATTTATTTATTTTTAATTGGCCCTATTTTATAAAAACATAGAATAAATATAAATATTTGTAAATATACATACCCCCATAAGTTTTTTATAAATTATATTAGGTTATGGTAATATTTTTTAGAACATTAGTAACACATAACAACAATAAGAATGGGTTTTTCCTATTTTCATTTAATTAGTCTCTGACAAAATGAACATGTATATATCTGAGTATAAAACACCCCATATTTGTGAAACAACATTAAAAAACGAATGTAATTAATACATTGTTTTAGGGTCAATGATTGAGTTCACAAAAGATGTAAACCATACTGACCAACATTGTGAAATAGATTGTGGTTTCAGAGAGCAATGTTCTTCAGACAACAATAGCAACAAAGGTATTTCTTGATAATCGTTAAGTAAACGCTCACGTAGCGGAAAAAAATTATGTTTGTGCTTATTTGAACATAAACATCAATATCGACACACATGTGCTTTCCCTTGCCGCCAGGAATTTAATATAAGAATATTGGATAAATTTACTTTTGAAATGTTTTTTTTCTTCTAAATTTCACTTAACAAGTGGGGCGTATATATATATTATTCATATATTTCACCCCATATTTAAGTTCAACAATGTGTAAGATCTTATTACTTAATAAAAGATTTTCCTTTTTTAATCACATGCAACTGATGACTAGAACAGCTTAAAAACTTACATATTTTAGTACAAATGTAATTGTAAAAAAACATACAATTATATATTAAACATTCATAAAAATGGTTCACAGGAACAAACGCTACAGCAGCAGACACGTTTGACACAATATATGGCAGTGAAAAAAGAGGTAACGATAGTATAAACTCTCAAAGCAGTACTTCCACATGTCTAACCAGCGACAAAGGTAAGTTTTTTTTAAGATAAAAATAGAACTTACCAATGAAAAAAATATTAGTATACCATCATAAGAAACCACACTGTCGAGTTTCTTTTATCAAAAAGTATTTTAAAATTAAATTAAAGATAGAATGAAAAGAATCTTAGTTTTGTTTTGTCTATTGTGTATTTCACTGCAATAACAAGAACATTATAAAATTCAGATACTTTGCATTTTATAGCTAGAAAGATTTCTTTCAGGAAAATCGCCAGTCACTGTGGATCAAGATGTGCATTTGAAATATTGTGTAAATGAGAGCAACATATATACAAACAAACCTACATGCAACCCTGTACAGACTGATATTGATGGAAATGGTATTAAATTCATTCATTTTTTTATTTTTACATGGCCATATTATATGAAATATAGAATTAATATGAAAATTTGTGAACATATATTTACTTAATTTATATTAGGTTATGATAATATATTTTAGAACATTGGTAACACAAAACAACAAGAAGAATGAGTTTTTCCTATTTTCATTTAATAAGTCTCTGTCAAAACGAACATGTATATATCTGAGTATAAAACACCCCATATTTGTGAAACAACATTAAAAATCGAATGTAATTAATACATTGTTTTAGGGTCAATGATTGAGTTCACAAAAGATGTAAACCATACTGACCAACATTGTGAAATGGATTGTGGTTTCAGACAGCAATGCTCTTCAGACAACAATAGCAACAAAGGTATTTCTTGAAAATCATTAAAGTAAACGTTCGCATAGCAGTAAAATATATTTGTGCTTATTTGAACATAAACATCAATAAATAGAATTTTAATAAATTTACTTTTGAAATGTTTTTTTTCTTCTAAATTTTACAAGTGGGGCGTATATATACTATTCACCCCATATTTAAGTTCAACAATGTAAAAATGTTTTTTGACTTAAAGATTTTGTAGATTTTGCTAATGGTGAGTATGAAAGTAAAAGACGAAATTAATTTACATAACCCATGTTAATCTTTAAAATTTAATTTTTAATAGACTACTGAAGTACATACATTTTTTCTAATTTTAGGTTTCTCATTTTGTCTTAGCCTAAGCCCATAAATTCATTTCCTTTTCAAAGAGTATACTTATAAAAGTAAAAGTAATTTGTGAGCAAATTTTACTGTGCACATGAGAAAGTTATATAAAGCATTTTACAGAATAAAAATTACAATTACATTTATACAGGATCAAAGACAATGATTAAGTTTAAAACAATGGATCAGACAAGAAATCGCAAAATGCTGAGTTTCATGTGTAACGGCAGTAACACAGGTACGTTTTGAAATGCATATTTCTATCCAAAAAAACATGAATATGATATATGTAACTTGATAAAGAAACACAAAGAAATCAAAATAAGAATAAATGCCCCGTCGTTACCTTATTTATTGAGTGTCAAAGACAAAAAACGATGCTAAAACAATAAGATATTTTTTTCTATTATTCGAGCAATTACGCTAAAATACAGTCTATTTCGTTAGAATAGAATGATTACATTCTAGTTTATGGTTGAATGATTATTATTTTTATTTTACTAAACTATTAAACTCGCGTTAAGTATATTTTGTATGAGAATTAATATTTGCATCTGTCTTTGTATTGTATTTTATATTGCTACATATATTTATTTTATAGATGGAGAAGATGATGATGACGATCTCGATTATATACCCCCAAGCAGTGGTACAATTATATATAACTTTATGTTTGTACATAATAAAGAAATTAAAGACTTTTTTAATTAAACGCAAATTAAAGTATTAAAACTAATTTCTAATAAAGAATATATATTAATATCTTGAAATTAATAATAAAAAAATCCTGTAGAATAATTCTGTAGAATATATTTGATCTTCTTTAGATGAAGATATCGATGAAACAGACGATGAAAACGAATATATTCCAATTATTGAAGGTAAATACTTCATTTGCAATCCTTTTATGAATCCTTTTATGAATTAAAAGCTTACTAAAACCCTTAAAAAGGTTGCTGTTTTCAATATAGCGCGATTCTAAGATTTTAAATTTCTTGCCTGTTTTGATAGTATGATATATAATATAATTTGATCATGTTTAGTACGACATAATTTAGATCACATTTTATGTAAGAACTACTATGCTGTAATTACCTGTGCTAAAATTATAAACCCACGTGTTCTAGATCCCAGGTGCGTTACGAAGAACTTTGCTCCGATTTTTGAAAATGCAGATCAAAATGACGCAAGAATTAACAACCGACGCAACAACGCAACAGGTATTTTGGTATTTTCTTTACAATAAATTATTCATGACAAATGCTGAAACATTGTTATAATGACAGAGAAAAATACTGTTTTATATAAGCTTTATTTGTCATTTAAAGAGCAGGCTGTTCGATACACTGTAAGGGTTGACGATCAACTCAGTATGACATATATTTGTTGTTGTTTTTTTCAATTTTGTAGATGGTGACCAAAATGATACCAATGATGATAGTGATAATGGTTATAAAGAAAGTAATGGTAATGATGATAAATGCCCCACAAATCAAGGTAAATATGATTCGCACATTCTTAAATAGTTCAATTGTAATTCAATAACATAAGCGTACAACTAATTTTGCTACTAGCCTGTCAATAAAATATTTCATTGATACTGACTTATCTTCGGCTGTAAATTTATTTAGAGATCATTGCTCCAAAGAATTTTTACATTTTGAAAAGCAATGTATACAACAAGATGTTGTCAAATATGTAATAGTTTTTCATTTAATTAACAGGTGACGGAAGAAGTAAGAATACAACTGACGATGACCTGTCTAAAAAGAGAGAAACAAATAGTAACAAATCCATGCACCTGGATGAAACATACAGGCGTCAAATGATTAACGGTAATATTGTTAACAACATATCTATGTAAATTGTTTTTCAACACAAAAATTTAAATTTTAACTTTATATATTCATATGTTTATTAGAATATTGAGTAAGAGAATAAAATATAGATCTTAATAACATTTTTACTTAATAAAATGTCTCGAAAAACATATTTTTAAGATTATGATATATATTTTTTATATATTTTCAGTTACCGTGCCAACATATTCTAAGAAAGATGATGGGAAACGAGATTATAGGAAAATAAATTATTGTTTATACTGCAAACGTTCATTTACATCGAAAATAGCACCACATTATATCAATATACATTACGACGAACCCTTTGTCAAAAATATCATACTTTCTTCACCGGAATCAGAGGCGCGGAAAACTCTGCTGATAGAACTTGAAAACAGAGGAAACTTTGAACATAATGTAAAAGTAGGTGTTTTTTTACCTTGAGCCAATTCTTGACGATTTTCCAGATATTCTAAAAAGCTACCGCTAATATTTAAATTTTGTTCTTTTACTTTACAGGTAATCGAAAAAAGCGAGGGACAATTGGTTGTCGCAAGAAGACCCAACATCAAACAGAGAGAAAAATATGTTGCATCAGACTTTTTGCCATGTGAATATTGCTTTGGATTCTATTTAAGAGAAAACCCTATGGCTTCATATCAATAACTGTCGATTAAAACCAAAGCAAAAACAGCCTTCTATGAAGAATTATTGCCGTGATGCAAAAATGATGCTTTCTCCATTTCTAAAGAAGCTTAACGAAGAAGACGCTTCGTTGGAAGCATTTTTTGCCGGGATGAAAGAAACAACAGCAAATCCAGGAATCCCAATCCTTTGTAAAAATGATCAACTTATACAAGAATTTGCCAAGTCTATGATTCATCGCTTAGGGGAAGAAAGTGAACAAAGAGTGAAGGACCTAGATAATGCAAGAACAAAAGTTAGAACCGTAGGGAGGCTACTGAAAAGGTTGCATCAGGATACTGAAGTCCTAAGTCCTCTATCAGAATTCATAAATGGGAGAAATTTTTTGAAAGTAGTTGACGCTACTAAAAGTCTAGCGTTAGAATGCGATTCTCCACAGTTAGCCCTTACACTTGGCCACTACATTAAACATATAGCGTTGCTAAAAGGAAGTATTGGAATTCAGGAGGAAAATACCCAAATTGTAAACGAAGCGCGTGATTTTAAAGAATTATTCAGTGCTCATTGGAATAATAGAGTCTCGTCTGTAGCAAAAAGAAGGCAAAAGATGAGACATATCAATAAGCCAGCTAGAGTTCCATTGACATCAGACCTTATTAAGCTTAAAGAATGGATGGAAAAAGAGTTGAAGCTGATAACAAATATTCAGAATCCAACAAGAAGCGAGTGGGAAAGAACAGCACGAATGACGATGGTAAGGATCGTAATGTTCAACAAACGGAGAATTGCAGAAGTTTCTGAAATGAAAGTGTCAGACTTTCTGCAGGCGGAACAGAATGACGAAATGGACAGTGAGATATACAACTCTCTGGATATGTCGGAGAAGATTCTCTCAAAACGGTATGTCACTAGTACTTTTTTATTTCAGTAAACGAAAAATCTGACATCTAAATATTTATCAAATAATTTAATGAGGAAGCCCCCCCCCCCCCCCCCAAACAACTTAGTGCTTAAATTTAAATAATATTTTGTGCAATGACAATATGTCTATTTCAGAATGAAAGTTATCGAAGTGCGTGGCAAGTCTACCAGAGGTCTCCGGAAAGTTTGTGTACTTCTAACACCAGACATGATTGATGCATTGAAATACCTACAGAGGACTCAGAATAGTACCAGTCAATTTTTGTTCTGCAGGTAATTGTTAATTACAAAATTATAATGTGTTGTATCATTAAAATGATAAAATTCTACGCTTTTGTTACTCTATTGTTGAATGTATACATATAATATGCATTGAAGAATGTATCACTGATTTTGAATACAGCAGAGAGAAAGATGAAACTAGCATATGTTGATATAAACGTAATTTTCTTTAAATCTTTATTTCGATAAGAACATATTCCTGATTTTATTAACTGTTATTCCTCTAAGGCAAAGCGACAACACCCCAATTGATGGCTGCACTGCAATGAGAATAATCGCAAAGGAATGTCCAGGATTACAGGAACCAAGTAGAATACGAACAAGAGAAATGCGAAGGTATCTGGCGACAACAACACAGGTAAGTGATGTTATGAAACTATCGCGTTTTATAACAATAAAATATAACTGCTTAGCACAAATTACAATTATTAATAAGGAGGTAAAAAGTTGTAACTGTTCTTTTAATGTTGGTACAGATTCTCGATATGTCAGGGGCAGAATTAAAAATGGTTGCCGATCACATGGGACACAATGTCAACATTCACACAGATGTGTATCGTCTTCAAAGTTCTATCATCGAGAAAACTAAAGTGGCACGTGTGCTTATGGCGATGGAAAATGGGAACATCAGCAAATATCAAGGACAAAATCTTCAAGACATTTCACTTGAAGGTAATGTGTTACAAAATAACAAATGTATGCTCATAAAATCAAATCAAATCTACAATACCTTCAAAGTATCTGCATGTAAACATTAAAATATAAACCTTTGTATGTTTTTTTTTCTTTAAAAAATACAGTGTCAATTCATATTTTGTGAAAAAAAAGCGAAATTTATTTGAAAATTAGTTCTGTGTGGTTTATTTATATCTTGTCCATTCTCACTTGCAGATATAGCAGATCCTATCTCATTCGAGGACTGTTGGTCGGAGGGAGCAAAAGAAACAGGCACAGGTACACAATAGTATAATTTTTTAATTAAAATCACCAAATAAAGAATATGTTTAAAATTATACTTATTTTATGTAATTTGTAATTTGGAAGCAATGCATTTGGAGAAATGCGGCGCATAAAATATTTAAAAAATCTTTAATAAATGAAACTGAGTATAATTATACTCTAAAATAAATCAAATATGTAGTTAATCGTCAAAAACTTGACCACTTATAAAAACTTAAGATCTTTTAAGTTAAAACAAAACAACTTTTTGATGGCATAGTTTTGTTTTTTAGAGGCAGTCCTTTCAACTTCGGAAGGTATAACGGATGAAGAGGTGGACAGTGATCTCGAAGAACACACTTTGGAACAAACAGGTAATCCAGTGTTCCATCCATAAAAGATTTATATGCTTTAATTAGTGTTTGATACAAGTATCTGTATTAGCATTAACTAACAAAGTTTATTCTTCGATATTATTGAAGTGTATATACAAGAAACAGATACATGATATAATTATATGTATCACAGCAGATGTATTAATTTGATACATTAATTTAGTGACTGAATTAGTATTTATATATGTTATTGGAAGTCTTACTTTTTAGCTAGATTTATTCATTGTATACAGCTATTAGACTAATATTGTATGTTTATTTCAATTCAAACAGTTGAAGACCAGGTGGCCGATAACGATGACAATGAAGGAACGATGTCACTTGTTCGACATTTGAAAAGAAAAAATGGTACAAAACGCTTTTTTAAGTAATAATTGCATTTTGTACATGCTGCAATAGAGTTCAGTTTTTATCCACTCACCGGGTATTCAGTAGTGAAACACTTAGTTTTAATTGAACGAAAGCCTTAACAATTTGTTCACGAATATCAACACAGTTAAGGTCGTTGACTTCAAACCACTTGCCCCTCACCTCTGTTGGTTCGAATCCCGACAGGGACTTTGGATTCTTTCATGTGAGGAAGATATCCAGCTAGGTTACGAAACGTCGGTGGTTCTTCTCAGGTACCCGTGAGTGCCTGAAATAATGCACGGATGGGCACCTGAGTTCTTTCTCCATCAGAAAAGCTGGAAAGTCGCGATATGACCTATACTGTGTCGATGTGACGTAAAACCCAAAACAAACAAACAAACAAAATCATCACATTATTTAATTTTCATCATTATACTTTTAAAGTTAGAACTGCATTTTTTAATCGAGTTCATTTTAAATCTACTCAACGGCTATTTAGCAATGAAATTTTAAGTTTTAATCTTATGATAGTTTTAAGAACTTAATACCTTCGCATTATTTAATTATTCTTTTATCATTATCTTTTTGCATTTTTTCATTAAATAACTTGGTGTATTGATATTACAGAAACGCAGACAAATGCACAAACAGCAAAGATTAAGCGAATGAGATGGACGGATCAAGAAAATGATGTTTTTCGGAAGTATCTGTCTTCAAATATTTCACAGAAAACAATGCCTTCGGGAGATAAACTACACAAACTGTCAGAAAAGTTACCTGGTAGAACAGTGGCTCAAATAAGGACAAAAATCCACAACATTTTGTCAGGGAAGTTGAAAAAATATTGAAATGACTTTTGAAAAACCAGAATTATATTAACGAATTTCACGCGTTGTGTCAATTTTGGAGGAATATGAAAGACATTTGTTGTTTTAAAAATTTTGCAACAGGTATTGACTTTTATTATACAGTAATGTTAATAAGTCTGATGAGAGTTTAAGCACATTGAGCGAAGTGTTAGCTGACGGTAAAATATTAAATATGACTAAAATTCATTCACCTGAAAATGGATATTATTAACATGATTTCATGACTTTCGTTGATATACTTGTGAAATGTTGACTTTGACATTGGAGAGATAACACAGAATTAAAGTCAGTCAAAAATTCATGCCAAAACAGTAAAGAAAACAATTCCTTAATGACATAGTCCATCTTGACTGCGACTTTCGAGAATCTTTACAATAATTTAAAAGAATGTTTGCAAAATTAACTAAGTTAACAATACTTATTAGTTTTTGTTAGTAACACATTTTTCAATTTATTACATTTATTACACTCATGTACATAATATTTCAACTTTCTCTGTTATTTCTGTTATATTTTTGTTAAAATATTACATTTTTATATTATAATATATATACAAAACATTAACCTGTATTACGACCATGCAACATAATGGCCAGACATCACTTGGTGTTGATTGCCCCCAATTAATTGTCGTAATCTTCCCTCTGGCGTAAACAAATACACCGGGTCAAATGAGGTCATTAATATATATATCTATTGATTAGACGCTTGCTTTACAATTTATCTTTAGCATTCAAGCGTCAACATGATCAGTTTAAACCACTTCTGGCTAATTAATCTAAGCAGCTATGGTGTGAGAAACGATTAATTTGTCGGCGTAATTAGGATGTAATAGCCAGGTGAATAGCATCTAAAATTGTTTGTTGTGCATCACAATTTATAGCAAGTATGGTAAAAATTGCTAATTACACCAAATTATCAGTTCATGTGTGCTTTATTTCGATATGTAATTAATGTATAAATCATAATGAGAGTCATAACTATATTAATACCTCATATTTTTTCTTCTAAAGGGGAAACTTGAAACACTAGCCGTAAATTAATATTTTCATTATATTAATGATTTATCATATTATCGTACATTTAAAATGTTTTTTGTTTTAAAAAAATATGTGTTTCTTTTTACTCGTTTAATAATTAAGTACATTTACTATGTGCATAAAACTATACAAGGTATACATTAAGTTAAGTTGGACTTCGTCAGCTGTTAAAGTGACCTATTCACTATTAAGACCAGATCACTATTAAGACCACTTTGAGTCAGTCCCGTTAGTGGTCTTAATAGAAATTACTGTATATATATTTATATATAATAATGGAATGTCAACCTCTTTTATTCATTTTTGCATGTATATTATTTACAAACCTTTTATTCTATTGTAAAATGATCTTTTTTTTTTCAAAAAATGTTGTAAATAAAAATGTTTCAATCTACCTAAATGTTTGTTTGCTTTTTAAAAGCTTGTTACATAATAAATTGAAATATCTATCAAGGTGCCTATGGGCGTGTTCTAATCCGAATATAATATGAAGAAATAATAAATTATTATCAAAGCAAAGATAATTATCTCGACCGGCCATTCGTTCGTTTAACTTAAACATTTTTTTTATATCAAACTGATTACAAATCACGTTGTAAAATGTCAATAGAATAGGTGAAAAGAACTCGGTTTATTGAGGATGTTTGTTCAGTCACACTTCTTTGCAGTACTATTGCTGTGCAATGTTTTTATATAAACAACAATTGGTCAAGAAAGTAGTTTTTATTCGTATCTACAAGATTGAAAATGTTCATAAAAGATAGTGACAAGTGTAACAGCGCTGACCTAACACAGTAAAAATAGGAAATTTATCTTTTCTCATCAATGACACAACATGATTCTAAAAGACCAAATGACAGAATTAACAACTATACACTGATAAACGGGTATGACTAGACACCGGAAAGGGCCTCTTTCCGCGGAAAGGACTTGACATGACCGGAAAGGGTCGATTTTATTCTCATTAATGGCATTTTTCAAAACATTTCAATAAATATACTTACAATTTATTGAAACAAATACATATATGAATAAATTGATATCTTTTTTTTTAAAAATCTGTATGGTTTTGAGAAAAAAATCAATCAGCCCTAAAACCGCAATGACCGGAAAGGACTTTACATGATCGGAAAAGGCTGCATACCTTCGTTGTACATAATGCATTTTTTAAAGATTTCAATAAACATAATTACAAATAAATATAGAAAATACACATATATCTTACATTAAAAATGGTTTAGATTTCATACGAAATTCGGCCAGTCCTAATTAACTGATCGGAAATGACTTAATAAGAGTGATAGGAAAGGGCCGACTATTTTTTTTATATTGGGAATATTTGAAATATTTCATAGAATGTTATTAACATCATTCATAATAACTTATTATGTATATTTAGGATATAGACAGACATCGAAAATAATCCAGTTTCGCGATAAGTAAGATCGATGCCACGACAAGAGCTTTAAAGCAAATATTATGAACTAATAACATAAAAATATATGGTTCACAAGAAAAAAAATACATTTGGCGTCCTTGATCTTTCAGCCCGTTTTCTCTTCCTTAACTTATGATTTGGTGACTGTGGTTAATCGCCAATAAATACCCTTTAATGATTGACATTAATAAATATGTGTCAATTACGATAAGTCCGATAATCCAATTATCGTATTAGCGCATTGATTACTGTCGATAATCATGTATACGTGCCATACATTATATTATTTTTCCTTCTCTCAAATAGAAAGACTATCTACGAGTAGTTAAAGCAATAAAGTTATAAATTTATAAACTCGTTTGTTAATTTCTTTTTCAAAATATAAATATTAACTATTTCATATTAGTCCTATTTTCATTTATCATTTATTTTCGTATAAATCATTTTCATATGGACCTTATTTTTGTATTGTTCCTAATATTATACGGACATTACTTTCATATAGATATCTAATTTGCATACAAATGTTATTTTCGTATAAATCTTATTCTAATGCAGACATTATTTTCATAAGGATCTTATTTTCGATTAGATAATAGTTTCATACAGATCTTATTTTCGAACACTTATTATTTTCTTACAGTTCTTATTTTCGTGTAGATAACATTGGATGTTATTTTCGTACATATAGTTTTTCACACAGATATTATTTTAATACAGCTCACATTCGCTTACAGATCTTATTTTCGTTTGATTATACTTCCATTTGGATCATATTTTCGTGCATAGAGGTTACTGGATGTATAATTTTATACTGGAATTATTTTCTTAGAGATCTTATTTTCGTATATATTTGATTTTCGTACGGAAATATTGTGGTAATTCATGTATTGAATTTAACCGTGTCAATCACCTTTAAATAATCGATACTGTGCAATTGCAACTGCAAATTGGTGTATCGTCAACAACTGATTTCTTTAAAGCAGCATGCCTCCAGATTCATGCTGATTTTCATGAAAAATTTGAAAGTTGATTATAAAATATTAACTTGTGAAGTAGCCAAAAGTAAGCAATTTGCACATAATCAATGATACTTACATTTCATGTTAACTACCAAATAGAGGTGAAAATATACAAAAAAATGCCCATTACTGCGTTAGCAACGCAATAGAAACATGAATATAATTACTGAAAAATCTGCTATTAATCGCACATATTTTGACATTTATTACTTGAAGCTAATTTTTTTGCACTAAACATGATAATATTCTATATATTTAACTCGCCTTACCGGCTCGTGAAAAAATAAGGAATTTTATCATATTTCGTGAAAATATATTCCATATTTCACTCATATATCACACCCGGTACCGTTGAAAACCTATAGTCGCCTTTATGCACTTTTATATGAGTATATATAAGTAATTGCAAATAACATTAATAAAATTCGTTGAATTGTTTCCAATATCTTCATTGATATGAAAGCAATAGTTCCTTTCCGATCATGCCAACTCCTTTCCGAGCAACGCAGTGATGACTGGCTTATTGTGCTAAATAACTTAACAAATATAAGACAAAAATATAAATATATTTGTTTATTTCTTTGACATATTTTAATTTTGATAATATTTTCTGAAATATTTCTAATAGATCTAGATCTATTTCATATGTAAGAAAAATCCAATCAATCCTAATTAAGCTCTTTCCGATCAGTGCGTTTCGAGGACTGATAGATTATCTTTTAAAATCTGTTGAACTTGAGTTAAAGAGTATTAAATATAATCTGGTAGAAAAAGTTTGTTTTCCCAAACGCATAACCAATAATTAATAAATTATCGAAGAAAGAATTCAAATTATATCTGAAACATTTAGTACGAAAAAAACCTTCTATATTTAATATTTTCTATGTGTCGGATTCAGTAAATAGGTATTCATGAAAGATACTGTCATTTAAATACATAAATTCGTGCATCTTATTCTTTATATGATAAGGTGGAATTAATTTATGTTACAACCGTAGTAATGTTATAATTTCATTCTATTGAACACGAGAATCTTTTTTCATTGTCATTAATATTTTAATTGTACATTAAAATAGAATCACGTTTTAGTCAGAAAAAAACACAACAACAAGAATTACACTGGAATCGCTTCTACAAAATGTAATTATCTTTCCTCATTCTATGTAATACACATTGAAATGGAGTATATATAACTAATGGGGTGTTTATAAAAATGGGGTGTATATAAGATATGGGGCATATATAATATATATATGGTATATGCCACATATGTTGGTTTCATACAGACACCACATAACTAGGTTCTACACAGTCACCCCACAAAAGACACGAAATCAATATATATATATATATATATATATATATATATGTATGTCTGTATCAAGCTAGCTATTGGTGATGAATTTCACTATTTATTTGAATGTTCGTACTTTAATGACATAAGACGTAAATCTCTTCATTCATCCCAATATTTTTAAACTTGACATATTAATGAATAGTTGTGATAAAAAGAGTCTACAAAAATTATCTTTATTTTGTAAAAACATTATGTTAAAATTTAGACAATTAATACTTCTCATTCTCCGTTCCCATTTGTTAAAATGTAAAATACATGTTGTATTGAATTCAGTACTTGAAATGAACAATATGATCTCCTTTTTTTGTTTATTTAGCTAGTCATAATTGTATTCTTATAAAATATTATTGTGATATTAGTGATTTTTGACTGTTATTTTTCTGTTTGTTTGTTGTTATAACCAGTTGCATATTTAATAAAAACTGAAACTGAAACTTTACAATCGTAATCTGAATAATTTTATTGATATTCAAACGGATAGATCTACATTATACATATGTATTACATAATAATGACAAATTATTGTAAAGCGTGAAGTGAAATATTTGTCTATTCGTTTAAAGTTTACAATGTATTGGTCAGTACTTGTGTACGATTATTACGTGCTGGATAGTGAATTATTTAAAGGTTTATGTATTCTACCTGACTATTAATATTTATTATTCCGACCTAATTACAAATTTCTACACTGATATTCGTTTACACTACTTTATAAGACAACTTAATGTTAAGCATGTGCATTTATTACTCGCTAAACTACAAACGATTAAATTACCCCGGTATCTAATGCACATCTGTGCAAATATTGTGTTATTTTCCCATTTTTACTACACACAATGGAGAACCTTTAGCTGAAGCTCTTGCATGATACTCAAAGTGCAAAAATCTATTAACTGCTGCAAATATAAATGGGATTCGAACCTAAGGGATACCTTTAGGGCAGGTTTGATCGGCATATTACCTAATCTAAATCAACTGACTACAGAGATAAATACCAGTGATCGACAGGCCGTAAACAGCACTATAAATAGTTTTACCTGTTTAATAAGGGAAGTTGCAGACCCTCTTTTTTCAAGAACATATACAAATAAAATGCATGTTAAATTTTCAGATAGTCAGTCTTTAAAGGATGCTGATTGGTTTGACGCCGAATGCAGAAATTCAAAGAATATATATATAGATGCCTTAAAATCGTTTTATATATGTAAAACCCCAGCAAGTAGGGAATATTTGTGTCAATGTAAGAAAGAATATAAAAATTTAATCCGAAAGAAAAAGAAAACTTTTATGTCCAAAAAATATTCTGAAATTGAACGTTTAAGATTTTGTAAACCCAAACAGTTTTGGGGACAATTTAAAAAGAAAAAGGCTAATGTTTCTAAAGACATTACTCTTGAAGAGTTTAAATTGTTTTTTGAAAATTTATCTAATGATAAATTCAGTTCCAACAATAATGAATGTAATGACTTTTGTAATGAGCACGATTTTAACTGTGATGATTGTACCTATGAAGAATTGAATTTACCTATCACATGTGAAGAAATTAAAAAAGCTGTAAAAACACTTAAGTCAAATAAAGCTGTAGGCTCAGACTGTCTTTTAAACG